ATTCCCCACGTTCGTCCAGTCTTTGACCTCTTATCGTTAAGAATTGTCCAGTTACCTCGTTTCGGAGACAATGCATGCGCCACGTTTCTTAAAAATGAACCGTTTATCAGACCACACAAGTTCTCTTATTTTTATATGTTACTTGTGGGTTGGAATTTTTTTAAATCATTTATGAAGAAGAATCCTCGATGGAATGCATTCAAAGTACTCGTTAAACATTTTGGCGATTCTCAACTACTTAGAGTGGTTAGTTACGTAAGGACGGGTGTCTTTTTGGCTTTGATCCAAAGCATTCCGGTCCAGCAAAGTGCAACAATATGCGCACAATACGGAGTCGTTTGCAGTTGACTACGTGTATTTTCGTGATGGTTTATAAATAATATATAGTAGTAGATATTATTAACACTTAAACGGTTGTTGATTTAGTTTATACCTGTTCGGAAATAATTAACTAATGCATCGATAATTGGTGGACACACCGAGTTTACACAGATCTGAAACACGTGGTTTCAAATTTGTTTTTAATGCGTTTTTAATGGAACTGCACGTCAATTTCAACATTTATTCCCTGCACCCTGAAATTAATAAATTTAAATTTAAAAAATACAAATATGCATATCGTTTCATGACTCAGTGTTGTTAAATACCTGGATATTTATTTTCAAGGGAAAATGCCATGGATATATACCCCGGGGTATTTACCCAAGATGGGTATTTAGAGGTATTTATAAAATTTGATTTAAATTGAGTTGATGGCATTTTTGCAAGTACTTCAAGAATGCAGAGTCCATTATCGATACACCAAACTTATTTATAACATTTACAAGAATGCTACATTGACTTGAATAAGACAAGGCGATATAATGTTCAACCCAAATTGTTCATCACAGTCCTGGAGAGTGCATTTAAACAACTGGGTTGGACTCAAAAAGGTATAAACATTGATGGCAATACCTAAGTAATATAGGGGGCGATATAGTCCTTATTTCTGATAGCCATCGAGAGATGAAACTGCTGCTGAACGTATACAGGAGGCGTGAACACTTCTGTCTTAAATACTTTCGATGGTATGTCATTAATCCCTGATGCCTTTCCATGTTTTGACGCAGTGATTGCGTTTTGAACCTCACTGATTGATATAGGTTCCATGACACTATCCTTTCTTTGGTGTGACGGACTGCTGTCTATTTCCAAATCAGTTTCTATGCTTAATAGGTTTTGGAAATAATTTTTCCAAATGTCATTCATTTCACTATCACATATTATTTTTCCTGTTCCATCTCAGCATAGAGCTGTGTGCGCTTTGTATTAACTGTCTAACAAATTTATACACATTCCTGGTGTTATTAGCTTTAAAGTGTACAGGGTGTCCAAATTTCGATGGGTTTTCAGGGTATCTCAGTTATTATGAAAGATAGAAAGTAGCGGCTTTCGCGAACCTGAGCTACTTTTTTGTGAAACTTACAATGGTGCAAACCAAATTTTCATAGCCCTCTTCGTTTTTGATATACAGGGAGTGTTTCAAAATTTACGATTTTCAGACACCTCCTATATCTCGGCTATCCGAAAACGTAAACACGGGTTCTAATAGATTTTTTCACGTAGAATCCAATGGTGCACGTAGAATTTTTCTAGTCATCACGGTTTGTGAGTTATAAAGAGTTAAGTATTTTAGAAGTTGAGTATTCAGTATTTGAGTTGTGTTTATAACTCAAAAACCGTGATGACTAGAAAAATTCTACGTGCACCATTGGATTCCACGTGAAAAAATCTATTAGAACCCGTTTTTACTTTCTTACTAAGTTTCCGGATAGCCGAGATACAGGAGGT